CTCACCGTGTTTTTATGAAGATAGAATAAGTGAAAATATGCAGTAGTGCCCTGATATGTAATAAGTAAAACATAAACAATACAAAAAGTTATATAACTGGTGCCACAACTGATACCATTATCTTCTCCCCTCACAAATGTCACTTGTCCTATCACCACCACAAACACAACATTCGACTTACCCTCACAGTCACCCCAATCATCACCACCACCAGAGCCAGAACCTAAACACTCACAAACATCACCATCACTGCCATAACTATCACCATTCTTTCATCGAAACCACCACAATCAAAATCACAGTCCCCACAACCAATCCCATCCACACCATTAGAGCTACTATTAGCATTACCATCCCTATACCCACTAACATCAAAATCACTATCACCATAACCACCCTTACTGACACTAGTCTTACTACTACCACTGGTACCATGCCTCCTAAAGCCACAGTGCAATAATCAGAGAGGCTATGAAGGTAATGGTTGTGGAAATGTATTTATTTATTGTCCCTCAGTATCACCTGTCTCTGAGTAAGACCAACAATTCCAGTTGTCAAGTGAAATTTACACAGTAAATGTTGATTTTAGAACACAGAATGAGCTGAATAAACACTGATAAGCAAAAGTATTCTCTCCTACCTCAGTGTACTGCTGAGTGACAAGCTCCGGAGTTGGACCCAAGAACACATAAAAGTCCAGAATTCCCCCTGTGGTGCGGTATGTCAGGGCAGGCATGGGCTGGAAAGTCACCTCTGAAAAGATAGGAAAATGCCAACAAAGTTGGAAACTTTCATGGTGAGGAAGTAGCCTTGACATGCAAACTGTCTGTCTTTGGAACATCACATCTGAAAAGGTAGATAGATGGCAACAAACGTGAAACCTTCATGGCGAAGAATTACCCTTCACAGTCCTACTGTTTCTCTTTTCCACTTTAGAGTATTAAGGGCGGATAGTCTGCAAGAATTGCAGAAGTGCTAGTCCATAGGTTCCACCCCTAAATGTTTCCTCTTTAGTGGGCCTTATTACTATGGTATGGTTTGTGGTTCTACTTCATTAAATTTATTATTTATAATTTTTATATCAGCAAAATTTAAGGCACACAAGGAGTTGCAGAAATATTCCTGAGAGTTGCCATAAACGCTTCACCCAGCATTTTATTGAACCATCATCATAAATTGTCAAAACCAGATACCAGCACTAATAAAACAGTACTAACTCAATTTATTCATATTTCACCAGTTTTCATTACATGATTCTGCCAAAGACCCTGATTTTTCTGTTTCATATCACACATTATAGTCACACTTTCTACACTCAGAGTGCTGTGACCCACAGCTCCCCAACTAATTCAAGTTAGCTGACCTGAAGAATATCTAATGTTTTCTTTTCTGTTTTTATGTATTTTTTGCCAAATTCAGAGTTCAGTTATCTTGTTATTACATATTACTCAAATGAAATGTAGAGAATATTAAACTTGAAGACAAAAATCACTCCCAACAAGATGAATATTTTATCTCTGAATGCAGCTGAGTCTCACACATTCTAACATTACTCAAGGGTAACTGGCATACAAAAACAAAGGAAGCACTGGCATCATCCTACCCATGGCATTGCTGTTCAGCAGGAGCACACTGTGGGCACTGCCATCCTCCTCGAGTCCCATGTAGTACGGGTGGACACCATAGGAATTCTTCTTGTACTGACAGCCATGACAAGAAGAGAAGGGAGATTATAGCACCTTATAACTAATATTTTTAAATTTCATAAATATGTTTGTCAACATGGGTCTTGCTTTACTCTGAGAAGGAAGTTAAACACAGGATAGGAAGGTGCCAGCAAATGGACACATTGGTCTACGAGCCCAAGGTGACAACCCAAGTGGCACCTGGGAACACAGGCACCAAGCACCCATGGGGAAGGGAGACAGAGGCAGAGACGCAGACCCACTCACTGCATGCTTACCCCAGGGGGCTCGTCTCGAGAAAACATGCCCCATGTGTTCCAGTTCAGGTCTCGCCTAAACGTTCTGTGCTCCGTTTCCCCAAAACCATAGATGTAGGAGGAGGGCAGGCGGGTGGAGATGCGGAGGAACATGTCATTGAAGGTGAAGCCCAGGAGCTGCGAGTCCCAACTGTACAGTGAAAAGGTACATTTGGGAAGAGCTTCAGCTTTCCTTTGGGGTTTCAGCGCCTGACTTTCCAGGGACAGTGGAACTGCTGATTCCCTCCCCCATCAGGCCCTGTTCCTCTCCCAAATATAACACAAAGCCTACATAGCTAAAATAATCACAGATACGCTTGCTGAAAACCAGAAGTTAGCCTTCCTTCCTCTACTTTCTCTATCACTGCCTTCTTTCACTGCTTGCCCCACAACACCAAACTCAATCACTGCCCACCATCTCATCTGCTACCCTCCATACCAGCCCTGCCTTCTGCTTTTGCTACCCGATATTCCTTTTCCCTCATGAATGCTGAGTGACATTTTCTGAGAGAACCTAACATCTGGTCATTCCCTTGTCTACATTTTTTAAGGCTTCTCATATAAAGACCATATAAAGCCTTAAGCTGCACCTGATCTGAACCAATATAACATCCCAGCTTCACACCTACCACTCATCTCTTTATGTACTACATTGATCTATCCCTTGAAAGCCAGATTTCCTCATGTCTCATGATCTATGCACTGATTTTTTCCTCTATCAAAAGTACTCTTTTCCCTCCCCCAGAAGGTCACATGCATTTCACACCTCCAAGGGCCTTCTCTACATCCAGGTCCTACTATAAATGCCACCTGCTTGGAGAACCATACTCTGGCCACGTTATCAAAAGCAGTAACCTCTTGGGCCATGCACGGAGTTCAGTGGAGCCATGTCTGCCTAGCAAATGCAAAGTCCTGAGTTTGATCCCCAGTACAGGGGCGGGCGGACAAAAGGCAGTAACCTCTCAAAACTCTGGAATTCTGTTCTTTTTCCTACACAATAGTTATCTCTGTTACTTTTATATTGTAATGTAAATTGTCATGATTATCATGAGAAGAGAGACTTTCTCTGTCCATAAGCCTACAACCTACAAGTCAAATGGAGAAGGTGCCCCATAAATACTGATTAGTTGGATGAATTTCCAGGAACAGGCAAAAGCCCACACAATTATTCTCATAATGCAAAAGACTTCTGACTAGAACAGATCTGAAGGAAATAATTTAAAAATCTGGAAATGGACAGTGTCTGGTTTTAGCCAGGTTATCCCCAAGGACAAAGAATTGGAAGGAGCACGTAAGTAACCAGAAAATCCAAATCAGACTAGAGGACACTTACATTACAGTGCCTGTACTCTTCCGGCGAATCACTATCCCAAATGGATTCTTTGTAATGAGGACATCATACAGCCGGCTCTCAGAGGTGCTAGATGGAACCCTGGGTATGTTCAGAGGGACTGGGACTTCATAACGATTATTGTTGGGGTCATAAATCTAGGGAGAAGAAATAGATTTTAGGTGAAGATAAAGAAAGGAGGAATAAGCTCTGTATAGAGACATGACTGTAGTTAACAATCTTGTAGAAATGAGCAATATCCGAGAAGATAAAGAGTATACACAATGCATAAATGTATCAAATCATTATAATGAACACTATAGAGACATATCACTATCATTGTCAATGAAAAAAAACCTTTTAGGCAAGGTAGTTCCTTGACTTTCTTGATAGTCTAGATATGATATATTTGTCTTCTGTAAGAATCTGATTGATTTGATTCTGTCATTCTTCATTTTTAAAGCCTCAGTAAAACATTCATTTTTACATTGATACCACCTTAAAAATTATTTTTAAAAATCAGTGTGGTACTTATAAATATATTCTTCTTTTACGTTTGTGAGAATATGAGTTTAGTGAATACCTGAAAACTATTCAGAATTGTTAATATAATCCTTCATGAGCTATTTTGCTTAAAATATCATAAATATCCTTGCGGAAAATGATGAAAAATTTCACGCAATGAATATGCCCAACATCTACTGCTTCATAGTGTACATAGTAGATACTAGGAATATGAGCTGAAAAGGTTAGGGTTGCTGTTTTAAGAAATTCACATGCTAACATGAAAAGGAGAGGTATTTACAATACTTGAGGGATGTGAGATAATGCAGAACTATGTAGAAAGTCTGTGAGATTATAGGGAATGAAATGTTGAAAGTTCTGTATTCATTGAACAAGCATTTAATCAATACTAAAACATTTTGTTGGGGAAACAAGGAACCCAAAGGCATAGAGCATTATTTGGACTCAGAAAGATGCACATATTTGGAAGAGGCTACTGTATTACCAAGAGGAAGAGTAAGCAGGAATTAAAGACACAAATACAATCAAGTTCATTCATTTTGAACCTGTAGGTTTACCCACATCTGGTAAAGAAAAAAGCATTTCACCTGTCCACCTAAAGGGAAGGCTCCTAAATGTCCTCTCCATTTCTCATTCTCCCAACTATTTTCCCTAGAGTAGCCTTAATAAACTCTTCAAATGCAAATTAGGACAGATGGCAGTATTCTACCAATCTTTTCTCACTATTCTTTTGAGTTGGATTATGATCTACTCTATTGCAGCACAGAATTTAAGAGAAAGCTAGCCATTGGTGGTGCTTAGTGAGACCCTGCCCTGGGGTTCTAATTTGGGTCTAAAACCCTGACTATTGAAAGACACAACAAACAAAGAGTAAACTTAATTCAAGCTTAAGAACCCTCAATAGCAAAAGATAGTGGAAGCCAGGCATAGTGGCATTTACCTATAATTCCAGTATTCTGGGAGGCTGAGACAGGAAAAATAAAAATTCAAGCCCAGTCTGGGCAACTGAGTGACTTAGTGAGACCCAGTTTTAAAATTAAAAAATAAAAAATGGGATGGGGAGGTAGCTCAATGTAAAGATCCTGGGTTCAATTCCCAGTACCAGAAAAAACAAAAATGGAAGCAAAAAGGGCTGTGTCAAGACCTGATACATATAGAGTTTACCTTAAACTGCAGCATTTCATCCTTATGGTAGGTCACTTGCAGGCGGAGGGGATTCACAGGGCTGGAGGGGAAGGTGTTGGTGTAAAGAGAAGACTTTAAGGAGATCTCAGCGCTGGCCCCCTGTGAGTCGTACTGAATGTTGCTGACAGCGTACAAATCCTCGACAAAATAGCAAAAAGGAACCCCAGGAGAGCTGGATTCCTGAAAAGTAAAGACAGTAGTCTAGTCAGCATGTGTTCCCTGAAAGACTTGAAAAAGGCAAGATATGTGGAAATGAAGCCACCATAATCTTATTCACTTATATCTCATTTGGTAGAGCCAAAAATTTAAATTACTGCACTCCAAACAAGATAATTACTAAAATCATCCGATCCTTCCCCCATCTATTCTCACATCCAGATCAACATCCTTTGAAAGCACTTTCTTTCTGTGAATTGTACTTAGTTGCACAGGCTCCGGGACTGTGCTCATGGAATTGTACAATAAGAGTAGAGGATTTTAGTGAGCATTACACCATCAGCACACTTACCTCCCAGACACAGCCACGAGCAGTGCAGTCTGCTTCAGAAATTCCATGCTCATCGGGGTAACAGTCTATTTTTTCTCTATCCCTTATGTTTGTGCTCCAATCCACCACGTACGCTTCTCCCAGGACAAGATTAATTTCTGAGATAATGGCAACCTATAGCAACGGAGAAGTCATGGGAAATTCATGCTCAGGACAAAGGCCTGGCAAAATCAGAAAACTATTTTTTTAGGAAAAAAAATTGACATTAGATGAAATTCAACAATTTAACAAATACATGACCACAGTTTATATGAAGAGTCATATATAATGATAGAGGACTATTTCATGGTAATGGGGCAAATATTACTACTCTGTCACAATTGTGTGCTTTATAATGTGCAAAAACACAGACAAAATAAAATCCATTGTGATCACCAGTTTTCTTTCCTTCCCTAACACCTCTTTCTTCTTATTGTGGCAGAAAGGCTCTCTTCTGCTTTACCAAATTGAATTTACCTTTTGTTCTCCACTCCCCAAACCAGTGTCCCCATGTTCTACAGTGGTGGAAGAAAGAAACAACATACCAGATTCCTACAGCCAGGGTGTGTGTGTGTGTGTGTGTGTTATATTTTCTCATTCCTATTGTTCTATGGGATCTAGACAAATTGTTTAATTCTTTGTGTTCTGTTTTATTGAATTCAAAAGTACTGAGTTCTATGGATCATAACATTTTCTTTCATTTCTAATGTCCTAGGCTCTGGGATTCTCCCAGCCTAAATACTCAAAAGTTTTAAATCTTTTGTGAACCTCACTCAGAAAGTCAAAATTCACATTTTTCTATACATTAGTCTTATGTTACACTCTTTTTTAAACAGCCCTTATCACAGTTAACATTCTCATTTGTCTAAAGCAATAAGACCACATTTAAAGGATTATCATCCTTCTCCCAGTCTCCTCCCAGTCCAAATCACCTTGCCCTCTTCCTGTCCTACTAATCCCCACCCTCCACCTCCAATAAAGTTTAAAATCAAGCATCATTATGAGAAACTTTGAGAATTAAATCAAGTATGACCTTCTCATTGGGGCACTTCAAACCCTTCAAAATGGGACCACAAGTTTCCTCCTGAAAAATCAGTCTCTTTCCAAAAGTGAATTTACCTCAGTCCTAACCTTGAGTCTCTAAACCAATACCGGTACCTCTACCTTCTATACTCATCAACAAAAACAAAATCCCAATTTCTACCACTCAGACTTTTCTCTCACTAGAAGCTGATCATTCCCTACATGATCCATGATCTTTCAAGGTCCTTGCTTTCTCCAAGAAACTTGGCTCATCTATACCAATAAACTTTGATCATCAAATAATATATAATTTAACACATGCCAAATGTTGGTTTGTGTTCACAGCTCCCTTCCCGAAAGTTTGATATGCATAAACTATGTCTCCCATAACCAAAATTTAAACAATGAAAGAATTCCTTTCTTCTTATGGTAAGTAATGTATTTAGCTAACAGGATTGAGCTTGTTCCCACATATGAATTTTTTAAATGGCTTTTGCTTAGCAATATACATAAATAGCCTTACACTCTTTATTTAAAGCATTATAATGGATTCATCCTCAATATGTATTCCTGAAACAAAATATCAAATATCATCAATCTGTCATCATAGTGGATGTCTCAATTAAATTATTTCCACAAATTTTGGAAGCCACTCAGAAAATAAGGTTCAATGCCAGGAATCTCTGTAGTACTTGTGATTAGGATGAGTTGGAATAAAAAGTCTTTATAATGGTAAGATACCAGAGGAACTGATTACAATCTGTTTCAGAGGGTCAGATTTCATTACAACTAATGAAAATTTACTTTGTTATTACCTATTACCATCTAATCAAAGGAGCAGCCATTTCATAGGACCATATATTGTTTCACTTAATATACTTTTTCAGCATATACTACAATATGTGTTGGAATGAGTGTCAATACAGATGAAAAAAGAAAAAGAACCTGCACAATTTTAATTAATGAGAATCCTACATCCCACCTTTACATTTTACCATCATCCATACATTTCCAAATCCCTTTTCCTCTGATTCTATCTCCTACTTTTCTCTCTCTGCTTTTCTTGTGCATATCATATCTATTTCTCTAAACATAAAGTCAATGAAGAGAGCAGAACACTGAGATGCAGAGAACACAGGGAAGGCATAATGACCCTTCCTCCATAGATCCCCAACTCATTATAGGTCTGGCTGTCTCCTCAGTCTCATGTTCTGTCCCAATCCTCTGACTTCCCTATTCAGGACTCACAGTGCACTTTGGTCCTTCGAGAACCCATGCAACACTGACTGGAGAAAAAAGCCATGAAGAATAATAAAATAAATATATCAGCAAAATGGACTTTTACCTTCAGGTTAGGATCATAAGTGACTTTAGGAGAAGCTTGAATTAGGACACCGTTGTGTTTCACTGTAACATTGGCAGGTTCTTGTATCCCAAGTATTTTAATCTCTTGAAATGCTAAGTTGTTAGGGTCCTTGTAGGTTGATTGTGAAATCTTCACATCCAAGTGGTTCTGCAAAACAATTAAGCACAAGGAAGCACAAAGGTTTGCCTCTAAGATACACATGCTCATGTCTAGTCACACAAATGCTACCCCCAGGACCAGATAGTTCCCCTGCTCGGAATGCTTCAGATTTCACTATTGATGCATGCTCAAGGATCATAGACTTATTTGAATTGAACTCTGTATAAGAAAGAAATCAGCAATGTGCAGACAAACAAACATTTGAAAAACTATATTTAGAAACAATAGCTGCTTTGATTGGTCAATAGTATTTCCTCCTTTGATTGAACACACAATGCAACTACTGGGAGTTAAGATCAAAAATGGAAATGTGTTCACCTGTACGCCTTAATGCCAATGATATGAAGTATATAACCACACACATCCACAAGCACATATGTTCTAATGGTCAGATCAAAGCCCACACTGAACATACATAAAACTGCAGTACTCACTTGGGTGGCAGAAAATTCATATAAAAGGTAAACATTGTTGGCCACAGTATCTGAAAGCAGAGAAAAGGCAACTCAGACTCCCTGCCCACCACAGAGCAGATCTCCCCTGCCTCTCCTTAAAGTTGACTCTGCCTTGCTGATGGTAGGACTTCATTCCTTTACATGACTGAATGACATTCCATTGTGTATCTGCTACAGTTTCCTTACTCGTTCATCAGAAATGTGGAGTGTTTCTATTTCATGACTATTAGAAGTAATGAACCGCAATGAACATGAGCATGTATATATCTCTCTGATTGACTACATTGTTTGGATATAAACTAGAAATAGGATTGCTGGATCATATAGAAGGTCCATTTTTAATATTTAAAAATTTTACTTTTTTATGATGACTGAACTCATTTATATTTCTACCAAGAGTCTGTAAGTTTTCTTCATTTCCCCACATCCTTGGCAACACTTGAAGTCGCTTCTCTTTTCCATAGCACAACTCCTAATAGTTCTGTGCTGATATATCTTTGCAATTGTTTTATCTGTATTTCTCTGCTTCTTAGTGATGATTAGCATCTTTTCATATACCTTTTGGTCAACTGTAAGTCTTCTATGGAAAATATCAGATTTATTTTTAAGTCAGGTTATTTATTCTGTTGTTACTGAATTTTAGGATTTCCTTACATGTTTTCATATTAATCCTTTTTATCAGATATGTGGTGTGAACATTTGTTCTTTATTTCTGTGTGTTCTCTTTTTACTCTGTTTATGGTTTCTTTTGTTATGCATAAGCTTTTGAATTTGATGTAGAAACGCATGTTTATGTTTTGCTTTCACTGCCTATGCTTTTGGTATCATGTCCAAGAAAACATTGACAAAACCAATGTCAAAAAATTTTCCCCATAGGCCGAGCATGGTGGCACATGCCTGTAATCCCAGCACGTGGGAGGCTGAGGCAAGAGGATTGCTGTGAGTTCAAGAACAGCCTGGGCTACACAGTGAGCTTCAGGTCAGGCTCAAATACAAAGTGAGACCCTGTCTCAAAAAGCCAAAAAAAAAAAAAAAAATCTTCCCCATGTTTGGAACTTTCATAATTTCAGCCCTTACATTTAAGTTTTCAATACATTTTTTAAAAATAGCCAAGATTTGCATACCACTGGTATCCATCAGCTGATGAATGAAAAGATAAATTGTGGTGCACACATACAGCAGAGCATTATTCAGGCATTTAAAAAAGGTAAATTCTGCCATTTGTGACAACATCGATGAAGATAGAGCACACTATATTAAGAGAAATAAGTCAGGAATGATTGAACATTATATAATTTCATTTCTATGTGAAAATTCACATGGGGACTCTGAAAAAGGTTGGGCAGATACAAGCAGAGAGTACAACACTGGCTGTAACAGACAGAGTGGGAGAAAGGAGAAGATGTTCGTCAAAGTGTACAAACTTTCGTCAAGTTCTGAAAGTTAATGTACAGCATGTGTGTTTGCAAATGTGTTAATTGAACTGTGAAATTATACAACATACATATACACACAGATCATTTTGAACATATTTAAATTTTGTTGATTACACTTTTGTTTATATGCAAATATGAAGTGTTTTATAGCTACACTTTGAGGATAAAAAAATTATGAACAGAGCCTTTGAGACCAAGATTCTATTTTACTTCTCCTTTTACTGGAACTGTGAAGAGATTCTTTTTCAAGTGCTTACAAAGCATAAGCCTCATGGGAACCTATTACCTAAGATACACTAGAATTGTTAGCATAGTAGACCCAGAAAAATGTGCCTAAAGCAGGTCTAGATGTATATGCCCTGGTAAAGTATATGTTAGCTGCCTGCCTGAGATGACTTTTTTTTTACATCAGCATGTGTTCACAAGATTTTGAGGGAGATTGCTTATACTAAAACAGAATAACAGAAGCAGCCTTGATGATATCTCCCAGATACACTAACAATAAAAATAGAATGTATTATTAATAACTGGCCAAGGGAAGAAATTTCACCAGGACAAATGTGTTTTCCTTCCATTTGTGGTTCATCTATTACTGCCTCAACACTGTTCAGGGGAAACTAGAACAAAACTCTTTACTCAGCTAACTTTTGCTGCTAGGCATAGTGAGATTTCTCCCATAGCCTAATGGTCAAGAGGAACAAATGAGTTAGGAGAAAGGTTTGGAATTTCGACAAAGTACTCACCTTTGGATTCCCCATCATCCCAGAACAGCTCTCCTCTTGCTTCTTTGTTCTCATCCAGGGCAATGAGGAGACCAAGAGGATTCTTCCGACTATGAGAAGTGAGATACACACAAGACACAAACTCTTAGGGCTCTGAGAGCTTTGCCCCATGTTTCCACCAATATCAAAGGAGAGAAATGACTAGCGTCAGGTTGTTCTCCTTTCCTACAGGCCTTAAGGGGAAGTTCATAAGAGCTACTCTTTCAGGGATGTTAGTGGATAGAAATGCCCCGAACATTGCAATAAATATCAATGTAGAAGCCAATAATCTAAGTGCAAAAATCTCTACAATCACTCTAACAAAATTGCAGGTGCCACTATTATTTAGAATAAACACAATTGGATAAGAAAGATATCTAGATGACAATGGTGTAGTCAGGTTATATTAGAGATAATTCCCATCTTAGGAGCCAGCTACCATCAGGGAGAGCCATTTTTCCTTCCTAAGTACCATGCTTATTCACAAAATCAAAAAATTATAATAAGCCCTACCTATACACTGGCAATAAACTTATTTGCTTATTTATTATTATTATTATTATTATTTTAAGACAAACATGAAAATCAAATTATGTGCATTATAATATAATACAAAAACTAAAACACCACGCAGAATGATGAGTGGTTGTATTAAAAGAAAGAGGGAGAAAGAAAGCAGTTTCATTTGAGAATCTGTTCATTTAGCCACTCCTCTGGATTACATCCCAACTCCTACTCTTCTTGTGCCTCTTCCTGGTTGAAGTCACCTGCTGTTGTCTTCCACAGTTCAGATTTCTCTATGCAAGTCAGGTCAATTTATCAATAAAATTTTATACTCTCATTCATATGGCATATCTGGAGGTATGACTGTTAAAAAGTCCAGAAGATACAAAGATAAATTTCAACTGCTGATATCTTTTACTTTCAATATTTTAAGACTCAACACATTTACCAAATAATCAAAACAAAAGATGAAAAGTAACATAAAACTTAAGACACTACAGGAATCAGGAATTACACTTCCAAAAATACAATAGACTACATACTCTGGAAGACACACATTACAATTGATATATTACTTGATCCAAGATACATTACAACAAATCTCTTCAAAAAATAATTCTTGGCCTTTTAAATTAAATAAGGAATATAAGCCAGAATTCACAATAGTAACTAGAAAACAAAATACTGGTCTCAACTCACAAGAAAGCCCACTAAGCAAAACCTATAATTTCATGGGGTCAAATGCCTTGTAAGGTTAAAATTGGGCCACTACAACAGATAATCCCAGATAGAAAACCTGAACCTCAATTTCCCATGTGAAGCCAGCTACACGAGGAAGTTCATATGATACTGAGTTGGCAAGAGGCCCACTGCCTTGCAACCAAAGAGAAGGCAAATCACCTCGGAGGAAGGAGATCTACCTCTGGGTCCTTATAATCACTACATTTGAAAAGCAAAATATCACTAAATACACAAGCAACAAGTCACCAAAAAGGTCACTCAAAACAACTGACTTTAGATTTATTATTCTCCTAAGAACTTTAGATAAGAGAATTTTCAACACAGAACATGAAATAACCACGACTGTGATGAAACACAAGCAAAAGGGCTTAACATATAAAGTAGGTCTGAAAGGAACAGCAGCCCTGACAGTAACTGTTAGAATACAGTGGTGGCAATCAACAGTTTCCAGGGTAGCACAAAGTTACACTTTGAAGTTTTCACTCCCTTTAAAAAAAAAAAGGTCAGCAGGGAATTCTTCCTAAGCATAGGGACACAGGCACACTTGACCTGAAGTGACCCTCGCATCATTGTAATAGTACAATTCATACTCCTAGGTGAAGACCTAAGATGCTAATGGTATCTGCTACAAAGGATGAAACAGGAGAAGTCACTGCAGAGGCATTGCTCTGTCCTCTGCTTTGTATATGATGACAAAAACAAAGGTCTGCACCGAAGATGAAGGATACAAAATGGGAACACCATGAACTTGTTTCGCAACTATTTCAAGAGGCTTCCCTTGTGCTCCGCAAAGAATAAAGCTTGTTCTACTAGACTTAAATGTCTTCAAATAATTCTTCTAGCTAAGGTTACAAGGAGCCACATAACAGTGAAACTACACTAAGAAAACAATATATGTTAAAATGACTAGAACTTTTCAGATACAGTGCCCTCACTACTGGAAAAAAATTGCTAAAGAGAAAGAGAAGCAAAAGGGGAGAAGCCTGGATGGGTGTCTCAGAAGGCAGCTAGAAAGACCAGCTGACACTGTGTCCATGGAAGTAAGATTTTTATAAATGTAGCAGGATTTCAGTGCTAACATCACAACACGCCTGGTAACAAGGAAGGCTGACTATTCTGGCAGTCGATGTGTGTGAAATTCAGAGGGGTTAGGAAGAGGAATTAGTGTCTTTGAAAATCCATCTGGGTCCACTCTACAACAAAAGATTCATAGGATGAGACCAAGAAACATGCAAGTCAGAATTTGATGATTCTTCCCAAATGCTGCCCAGCAACCTTCATAGTGCTTCCAGAGGTTTTGATATCTTCTCCTCAACAGATGGGGATAGGACAATAAAAGTTTTGTAAATAGTGAAAATTTTAAAAAAATAAATAAAAAGATCAAAAAGAGAACTTTTAGTAAAATTGTTTGGAGCCTAAGGATGTTAATTAAGGCATTCGTGGCACACTTTACAAACCAGCTTAAACATTATGCAAAGCAAAGTCCGGCTCCTTCATTCACCTGGAGTTGGTGTTCAGTGCAGGCTCCTGCAAGGGCAGAATGTAACCTCCACGCACATGAACATTAATGTGGTCCAAAGGGGCTGACAGGTTCTTCCACTCTCCCCTTGCATTAATATCCAAACCCTGCGGGCAGAGGAGAAAGAAAGCATGAAGGACAGGACACAAACTTCCCTGAACAGTGCATTTCACATCTACTCTGCCTCTCTAAACTTGCTGCCTTTTCTTCACCCATTCATCACACACCTCATAGGGCACTTTCTGCACACTTTGCTGCTGTGTGACATCTGGCTTCGGCGCTATAATGGCTAACCTTTTGGGGCATTCTATAGCACAAACGACATAAGGTACTAGGAAGAATCACAGTCCACTTTCACTGCACAGGCTGTTTCTATGTCTCAGAGCAGTGCTACAGGAGATTGAACAAACTCTTCATTCACTTTTTCTGAAAGTTGATGAGCCGTCCACAATGAAATAAATGGACATCCTTTGTCACCAAGAAATTCTTTGCATGGGGAATTTTCTGTGATTTATCTGATGTTTAGCAGAATCTTCTCCATTCATATACTAGATGGCAGTAAAAATCCATGTCCCCCACCCAGTGTGATGAACCAAATTAGCTCCACGCATTGCCAAACACTCTCAGGACCAAGGCTAAGCTCACTTTTAAAAACTTGGTTACTCTCTCCTCAAAAAGTCGTGGATGGAAAGAATACAGCATTCTTAAACTATTATCAGCCTAAGAACAGATGTAGCCTAGCAAAAAGCAACCGGAGACGAACAGAATCAGGGCTCCACAAGACAGAAAAGAGGAGGCCCTCCACCTACATTGCCTTTGCCCAATATTCACCCGATCTAACTGCCATTCTTTGAATCTCTGAGACAGCCTATGCTGTGTTCTTATCTTGCTACTGAATTTCAATTTCCCTACTTTTCACTACTCAAAAAGTAAGAAGAACAGGACAGGTTCTAGGACAACACCACTTCGTCTCTTGCCCAGGAGTCACATTGTCACTCACCTGTGGGCTAAGTAATCTCAAGTTACAAGGTTTCAAGTGATTTCTGTGAGACCACAGAACAAGTGGATCTACAGCCAGTGTTAGGCCTAGTACTGTGCATCTAAAGCCTTTGTTCTTCACCAATTTGCCCAGGTGTGTATGTAAACACTTAGCAAGCTTACCGAGTAGTACTCATACCAGCGGGCTCCAGGGAAATATGCAGCGACCTTTCTGGCATTCTGGAATTAAACACAATGAAATTGTGGGCAGTGCACACTGTGTTTCAAGATTCAGGAATGAGCCGCAACAGAAAAGAGTTTGAACAATTTGAGTTGCCTTCCTTCACTTCTGTGGAAATTTGCAATGCTGAAAAAACGCTACTTTCCATTCCAGTTTTCATATACAAGAAATTTGCCTACTCAAAATCAATGGCTCCACAAAGCCCTTGGGGATCCCGTATTTCAGAGGAAAATATCAGCATTGGCTTACAGATTTAGCCCAACCATATTTAGAGAGACAGAAAGCTGGAGTTCGGTCTGGAGCACAAGACCTCCTTGTAGGTATAAGGAGGGTGCCACAGGATGGTGTCATAAACGTGTGCCTGATCATTCACAGAGAAGGAATTGTTGCAGTTATGAAGGCAGGAGAGCTCAGCAGCAGCAATACAATGAGGCGCATGACTGCAGGTAGAAAGTTTTGCTTTCATGGAGACAGATCATTGTCATGAACTATATTCACTCTATCCGCGCCCCCTTATTCTATACTCATTCTTTTACTTTCTGGATGAGCTAGGCTGACTTTACGGAGGTGGAGCCTGATACTTGAATACCTAAGTCATAGACCTCTACTCAAGGGAGCAAGACACTAAGGAACAATGACAAAGTATGTCTCATGCACGAGGTTTCTTTTGCTTGTCCTGCTTGCCCAGCCTCACCGCTGGGATCCTCGACCCACTGAAGCCCTCCATACTCACAGGCTCCAGGACAGGGCTGACCAGCAAGGCAGGGCCGAGCAGGAACTGACTGTCTACATCCCAGGTTGCCCGGTCAGACACAAACCTGGAAGGGAAAAATGGTGGCACACTCACACCACACCACACCAAGGCCTAGCTAAAGGCCTTATAGAAAGTCCCCGTCTTCAGGTCCAGTCAGAAACTAGGCTGCATCATCTGCCCTCTTCACTCCTTACCAGGCCTCACTATGAACTTCTAGCCCCCACTTTCCATAGATCGGGCTCCTCTGAATTCAGAAATAAATTCCTCACCATAGCACCCTTTAAATACCAGGTCGGCCCACATCCCTCACATCTTACCCTACCGCGTTCTTTGGTACACAGAACTCATATTGGCTCCAAGGCATAATGCCAAACGGATACAAAATGTACAGAAATATTTACATTTCCAATTTAGAAAGAAATTCTGCTGTGTTGTGTTGTGTTGCATCCTTTCGGAAATTTTTTCACTTGATAAATACTTTTGCTTCCCTGACAAAGTAAATGTATAAAGCATCATCTCTTTCTAATCACCTTATCACAAAAAGAAATTACGTCTTCAGTTTGGAGATACTGTCACAATCCACTGTCACTCTACAGAGAAAAAGGCACTCTGCAGTAGTGAACAGGGTCCCAGCTGAACACTCACTCATGGAGAAGAGGCCTCACGACAGTGCTGCCCTCCGTGTGGGCCTTGTACATCAAGGTATACAGGTACGGTAGCAGGGTGTATCTGGTCTCCAACACACTTTTGGAAATATTCACGAAGGCAGCATCCCAGGATACAGGGTCTTGTCTCTAACGGAGGAACACAAGTGTTCAGAGCCAATCCAGTGAGTGGGGAGATTCCAGGAGGTCACTGAAAGTTTATTCAAAAGGAATTGCACACAGCTGAACTAAAGATTCTCATGGACGCGACTCCAGAATACATGCCATGGGCTGGAAGGAGTCCCTAAAATATTTCACAGAACAGCGCATATAACTTCCTCAGAAGAAATTCTTCGTGGCATGTGTTTGGAGCAATCCTTCATAAATAAAAACAAGCACGTATAATGATTTTTGAAGAAATCCCCAGACAAAGCATTAAAAGCTGCTCAAACATACAGGATGCATTGCAAGTACACCAGACATGTGAAGTAACATTAAGGTCCTACCCTGGTGCCGATGCTGTTGTGGTTCCTGGAGAAGGGGTAAAAGGCCCCCAGCTGCATCCAGCGAGCACACATCTCATATTCGGCATCTTGAAAGAACCCACAGATGTCTGCCCCGGTCTGAAACAAGATAAAAAACAGACAGGCTCTTGGTGATTTCTGAAGATGCCACCATCTTGGAAGCAATCAGGAGGGATCCGAAAGCCACTTACATAGGATATGCCAAACAGGCTGAACTCCATCATGCCTGCAATGAGAACCACACCTGTTTCAGGACGCATCAGAACCTGCGTTCCTCCTCCTCCTCCTGCCCCTCCTCCCTCACCAAGGAGGTCACCTCCCTCCCTGCCAGCACAGGCCCTGGGAACAGGCCCATCTACCGATAATAGATTTCTTCAGCTGGTCCCATGCAGCCGTGTTGTCTCCCAGCCAGTGTCCTGCCCAGCGGCCAGAGGAGGGGAATGTGGAGCGGGTGATGACAACTCCTCGCTGTCCTGTCACCTCCTGCACAGCACTGGATGAAGGGGGAAAAAAGAGGATCAATGAGGCAGGAGTAAAGTTAGAAAGGCTGTAGAGCTCACGCTTCTTCAGTGCCTGCACCTAGGAAATGGTTGCAAAGTCTTTCCTATATGACTGTTCAAAATATAGATATCGGACTCTGAGAAGGCTGTGTAGGCTGCTATAGATAAAAATAACAGTGTTGCATTTTCAGGTTTCTACAAGCAGCTATCTGTATGGAAATTTCACTGGATTATGCTGAAATAAGCAACCTCAAAATTTGCTATGTATTTACTAAACACTAGGTGTTCTATCCTTCAGGAAGAAGAGTGTAAATTGCAGTGTCACATTTTGCTTGGGATCCTTGGTACTGCTCATTGAACTGACAAACTGAGACCTGCTACTTCCACAGAAAACGCATCGACTATACAAAAAAATGGGGGGAAAGGACCAGGAATTTAGAATAGTGTGCCATCGCCTGCCTCCCAACTGCAAGGACTAACTTCCATCCCCAATATCCTACCCCAAAAAATCAAAGAAGCGGGGAAAGTAACAATACATATATCTCCGTTTCATCCTAACAAAGAGAGACGTCCTAAGATCCATGTTGCGTTTCAGTCATCTAACTAATAAATATTACAGGACTGGCTGCATTATTTAATAATGACTGGTGTCCCTGTCTGTGTGTGTGTCGCCATAAGGAGTACTAGCTTCTCTGTGATGGGACCATTATTTTTTCAATTGTTCCCACCAGTTACAATTACAGGGCTTGGCTATATGATTGAGCAGTGCTCCTTTACGATTTAGCAGAGGTTCTAATTAAATTCACCTAACCCTTAGAATGGTGAATGAAAGGAATACTGGGTACCCTGTGCCCCTCCCTGGGTGTCTCCACAGGTGCTACCAACAGGAGAAGGGAGATGACGACTCACTCGTAGGTGGGCCTCGTCTGAGACCATCCATACAGGCTGTGCACATCGTAGTGACGCACTCTGGAGCCATCTGGGAGGATCTGCTCACTCTCCATGCACAGGGTCTTGCTGCTTAGGCCCTTGTCCCTGTCCGCCAAATCTGTGGAGGAAAATTTTTTTTTAAATGTGAAAATCAGTCCTGATCTCTCTTTAAGGGACTGAACTCTGGCTTTTAAGACTGACTTCAACTGGGCATGGTTTATTTTTCTGTGCCCCAGAAGCAGGGAAACAAGGCTTCAGTCTCAGATACAATGGTACCTGCAGGTTCTTTCAATATCAACCTAACTAGGAAAGATCAGGTTTCTGTAAAAGCTCAGGGATCTGAAGCACCTACTTCATAACATGGAATGTCTAGTCTATTAAACTATTCTTCTCTAGTCAAATTACCTAAATTTCATGTAAGGCTATGAGAAAGAGAAGGCTACCTGCCTCTTATGTTACACACAGCCAAGATTTCGATCTTCACAAAGTATAATAAAACTCAAGAATGTCATGGAAAGAAAGGTCTGTAGGAGACAAGACATAGCATGACTCTAAAGTCCATGAGAGAAGCGGACACACTGCTTTAAAATCATTGGTGTCAAAAGGAATATCCAAAGGTACAGTATCACTAAAAGAAGAAATAAATCAGCATAAACAAATCTGTGTCACAGAAGATTGAGGAGCAAATGCACAACATCAGAGAATTTCCGGTTGGCCTTTGTTATAAAACGGAAGTAGAAAGCAAGGAACTACACAGAGAGAATCATTCACCACCCATAGGAGCTCGAAAGAGACCTAAAACTTCTATGTGTGAGAATCCTGTGGAGACAAAATCGTTATGAAGGGTTTCCTATCAAAAAGGTGAACTCACACAAGAAGTCCAGAAATGTACACCCACAGAGTAGGGAAGTGTTTAAGATGCTTTTGTCTCAGATCCCTACAATTACCAAACCCATGAGGATCTGCCCTAAGTGGTCAGGGTGATCCCTGGACTCTTGCAACTGTCGGTAAACCTAACCAGCGATCCACAGTGCTAGGAGGCCAGGGGTCCTTACGTGGCATGTAGGGAGGATGGTTCAGATTAGCATCTGTGCAACCTGAAGGGACAGCTCCATTCACAAAGCTGGATGGCTCATTCATATCCTAGAAATGTCAAACACAGATAGGGCTTGCTTTAAAGACAGGTACGTCTGTCCATTTGGAAACTGGGAAGTACTATAGTGAATAAATTATTTAGCATCTTATAATAGCTGTAGATGTCGGCTCAGGGAGGCTCAAACATTCCAGGTTAGAACTTCTAGATACTTCAATTATCCTTTCCTGTGTGACTAGGATTTTAAGAATTCTCTCTCAGGGTAGAGCAATTTTCTAAGGAAATCCTACTAATCACCCTATAGTTTTGATTGCAGAACCTGTGAGCAAGGCAAAAGGTTGGAGGGGTATCTGATTCCACTCCCGATTGGGGAAGTGCCTTCTGATAAGTGCAGAGTCTTTCTTGGATGACTATTATTCTCTTGCCAAGATGTCACTGATCTAATCTTATAATAGCTGTAGATGTCGGCTCAGGGAGGCTCAAACATTCCAGGTTAGAACTTCTAGATACTTCAATTATCCTTTCCTGTGTGACTAGGATTTTAAGAATTCTCTCTCAGGGTAGAGCAATTTTCTAAGGAAATCCTACTAATCACCCTATAGTTTTGATTGCAGAATCTTTGGGCAAGGGACAAGGTTGGAGGGGTATCTGATTCCACTCCCGATTGGGGAAGTGCCTTCTGATAAGTGCAGAGTCTTTCTTGGATGACTATTATTCTCTTGCCAAGATGTCACTGATCTCCATGGTAAAACATGCAAAGACAGGTCCACACACACCTATCCACGGGCACAGGGACACCTGCACACACTTACAATCCACATGCCATCGAACTTCAAGCTCTTCTCTGGATTCCGTGGATTGCTGTACAGCTCTTCAATTTCCCTCTTCCACCACAGGACAGTTGAGTTGCGGAAAAAGTCAGGGAAGGCCGTGTAAGCTCGATATAGCTGGCAGAAAAAAATATTCATTTGGGCAAAACAAATATGTTACACACCAAGAATATCACTATGAGTAGTAAAAATCAACAACTGGAACGCACTATGTCGTGCTTGAGATATGCAACCCTCACCTTCTGTCCCACTATTTCCTAAGCTCATCACAAAGGTAAGGAGCAGGGGCCAGGACAGACTCTAAGTAGAAAGATGCACTACCAGAAGAGGAAGAAACATGCAAATAATATTTCCGCAGAGAAAAAGAGGTAGCACAAGACTACGTTACATCAGTGTGCACGTGTCTTCTCTATGATTTCAGAGGCACACAGAACTTCAGCTGTGTTTATTTAATCGGGAGAACTAAAAGGGAAGCTTCAACCTCTCCTTCTTGTTATTGCCTCTCAAATAATAAAAGCAGTGTCGTTATCTTAACATGAAAAATGGGACAAAGGTATCACTCCTAAATCGTACTGTAAGCTTTCTGAGGGTTCAGCCTTTCGCTGACATTCTTCTGATGGACCTTTAAATTCCCTCAGGTAGTTAACTTGGCACATGACACAATAAATGATACTACCCAACACTGGATTGTGGAGTCTCACAACTTAGCAGCAAAAAATATTTATAAATCTCTTTTGGGAAGAGAAGGAAAAAAGTCTCTGGCTTAGCGGAATTTTAGTTCTCACCACAGATAAAAATCAATATGCCTAGATAACAGACAAAACAGGAGCACCAGAAGAAAACACATATGAACCCATGTGCATATATCTGGCTCACAGTGAGACGGCACGATGCCACGCCACTGGGAATCTTAGGATGCCTTTGGTTGGGAAATGCAAGTAAAAAGCATGGCACTACATGAAGAGAACTTTTCACCACAAGCAGACAGCTCTAGATCAGGCAAGGTCGGAACAATAGGATTTGGGGGCAGAGGGGTAGATGATTAGAATAAACAGTCATTATCAGCTTTGGCAGAATCAGAATTGCATCCCCTGTGAGATACAAGTGGAACATTAAGCCAACACTGGATTAATAACTTCACTAAATTCTGTTCTACAGAACCACATCCATGTAATCAAGAGTGTCCTCTCATTCTCCAAGGTGCTGTCTCACTCTTTTCTATATTCAGCTCTTCTCTTATTGCAAACTCCTTCTACCATCCCTGAGAGTAAACCATCGGCATGCCCATCTGTATGACTGGCACCAAGGATTATGTATCACAATTCACTG